GTAATATAAGACTTTTGGTAAAGATTTGCTAGAAGGCTTCTCTGACATGAAGGTAAAAGTTGTCGTATACAGTTAAAGTTGTGGTTCCATGGTATGTTTGAAAAGCCAGTAAGTCAGAAACGGGTACTGTTGACAAAGCAAAATTCTGGTTTGAGATATCATCACTTTGACTAGTTCAAATGTCATTCAAGATATCCAAAAAGAACAGCATAAATACATTGAACTAACGGGTATCTACAGATATCGCCACCGTTACCCGGCAGAATTCCAGTTCAATAAATCGTCGTCATTCCGAGTTCAAACTTTAGTCGAGATGTCAAAAACGGACAATGTAGGTACCTTGACTGGAGGGGAACTAAAGAGATCTTGAACTGGACTTACAAATAGTGCTCATAATGTAAAAACCCATAGAACTGTCATGAGAAACGCCATAAACACGAGTAGTAAAAGTGGTGTCATTAGTCCTGCAAGAATGACAATGTTAATGTCGGAACTAACAAAACTGAATCACGAATACCTGCTGCACATAAACAGTACAGCTAGTAAATGTTACAACAGCTTTCTATATGTTTTTTGTGCAGTTCCAACCATGTTGGACATCATTCACTTACTGTCCAAAACACTGAATATAAAATACAGTTATGGATGGATGCACTGTTACATAAATGTAGGTTTCTAATCTTATGACATATACTTGTTTGCTTTCAAAGAGTTGGATGAATTTAGGGGGTTTTCTTCTCTGTAGAGGAATTAAAATGCAGCCAAAAGCTGGTTAGCTTAAGTCAGACAACAAGAGTTCCAGTCGAATATATCCACATTTTATCCCTTCGGACTATCGCAGGAGAAATCTGCTCTGGGATCTTGGTGTGAGTTTGGCCCAGATTATTTGGTAATGTGAAGAGTTTACAGATCTGGTCTGATAATAGCTAAAATGTTTAAAATTTAGGAGTTAAAAATGGGATGATCATGCTACCACCGGGAGCAGCAGACGTTCTTGCCTTTGAAGCTAACGTTAGCTACAGATGTTAAACCTGATCTCACTTCCAGTTGTCACCGAGGACTAGATGAACCATGCTAACATCTCCCCAACCATTTTCTCATCCAGACTGGTTAAGTCTTCAATTTTTTTTTTTTTTTTGGTTTATTTTTAGTTGTAATATCAGCAAGTTTTTGTACCACAGTCTCCATTTAGTTTGTGTCTGCTTTCTCATGAAATCTGCCCCCTCTGGCACATTGATCCTGAAAATATTCTTGTAGCATGTGAAGCATCATTATTTTCACTTCTTTTTAGTGTTTAAATATCCGGAATTTGATGGAAGAAGATCTGTGAAGTTTCTTCTTGTGTGTGTGATGCAGCCTGATTTCAAAATCTGTTAAAACTTGAGCTCAGCTATACAGATAATTAGCATCTTACATCAAAGTTGTACTTTTACGAGCGGCTATTCTTGATCGTGCTGCTCTGGTTGTAGTTTAGCATTTATATATTACACACATGAGAGCGGTATCGACTTCCAATCCAACTCTCTGCAAGAAAGCAAACAAGCTTATTTCCCCAAATGTTCATTTGTACTGCAATATTTATCATTCCCTTGTATTTATTTCCCACAGATTTTATTTTTTTTCCCCTGAAAGTCACCCGGTTCAAACTAATTAGTTCGTTCTAACACAAACATCTCGATATTGGAGCAGCTTTCCACCGGCCGCATCTGTTTGTCTGATTTTTGACCGAATTGGACCCCGTTGGCCTCATTGAAACAATATGTGTGGTGACATTTGGGATTCGGGTTCTGGTTCTGTAAAAGCACCGAGGTTTAGGGAATGGGGATCTGGTTTCGAGTTGTCTTTCGTCAATCTCATTCTTTCTTTTTCTTTTCTTTTTTGATATTTAAGTAGATGCAAGCCTGTTTCGGGTTGATGAAGAACAAAGTTGGTAAAACGTGTGATGAAGTAGTAAAAAAAAAAAGCAGCTTGATTGGATGCAGAGGAGGTGCTGTATTAATTTCTCTCCTTTTAGGGTGTGTCTTTGGAGTATTTTTTAAATTATATATATATTTGCAGCTGTTCTTGTCAAATCTGTCCAGAAAAAAAGACAGATTTCTTTTATCTTTTGTAGCTTTGTCTCAACAAAACTAGCTGCACTGATAAAGTTGAGAAGCACAAACGGCATATTTAACCTCAGATTGTTGTGAAAGATGTCCTCCCTACCTGCCCTGCTGTGTGTTTCTGACGTGTTGGTGGTAAAAAACATACCAAAAAATAAAAAAACTGGCCACCCTCATCTTCAGCTGTTTGCAAGCTGCAGTTCATTCACGCGGCCAGGTAATGGAGGTGGCATTCCAAACACCTGCCCATCAAAACGGGGGAAAAAAAGGCAATTTGAAATGCCAGTGGATTGTCAAATAAATGCATCGCTCGTTAAATGCACCGGTTACCTTTTTATAGACGACCAAACCTCAAAGAAATAAATAAATAGAAGCTCAGACAAGATCACATGTACGTGAATAGTAATGATTTCACAATAAAGTCCTGAGGTAAATGGTAATATCCCCCTTCATTTCATTTATTGGGCTTTTAAGCTGTTGGGGTTTTCACTGAAGCGTGGTTTTATTAGTTTGAGGCCTGACTTGCCCCTAATATACACAACATGAGGTAAAGAGGTGGATTCAGACTTGACTGGGCTTCGGATGGCAGAGAACAAGCTCAGCTTATTCTGAGTTTGACGTCTTTGTTTGTAGGTTTGCTTTGCAGTTTCTCACGTTCGAGCAGCAACAGTTGAGCCTCGGATGGATGGAAAGAAATTAGCCAAACTTAAGATGAAGGTGGTGATTAGTTTACAAATAAGCACTGTTTTTTTTGGCATTTTCACAGTGGAAAGAGCGAACAAGAGCCAAGGAGTTACATCCAGTGAAGATCAGAGCTGGTCAGGATTAAAACTCACTGCACCCATGTGGCAGGAACACCGGTATACAACTTTTGACAGCTGTAATCATTTTATTGGGCACCAAATTTACAAGATATTAAGCAGATTGAAACACATTGTTTGGCTGTAGATGGTGAGGATGTTCTTGCATGAACTTACATGCGCTGATCTATTAAGACTAGTGGCAGTGAAGCTGCCCAGAAAATGCATCGATTAAGTCTGAATCAAGTGAAAGCGTTGCCTGGAATGTAAAATGTGAGGTGAAATCCTAAAAAAAAATTGAAGAAGTGCTGTGTAAAAGTTCATTTAGCACTGTTGTTTGGAAAAACTACCATTCACAGTTCATTTTTCAACACAGTACTAAAAATGTCAGCAGAAACTTGCAGTTAAATGACACAACTGTGTGTGTGGTCACTTTCACAATCAGCCTTTTTTTTTTTTTTTTTTTTAAATAGAAAACAGTTGCAGCAACAGTTAAAAGTCTAAATATAAATGTAGTTTAATTCATTCCAACAACTGCACAGTGTTGGAAAGTTTTTAGAATTTAAGACACAAAAACTATGCTGTTGTGCGCTTTCACTTCAAGAATTAGTTTCTCTACTGGAGAAGCTAAAGTTCTTTTCAGTAATCGTATATCAAACATTTCATGAATCACGTTTATGTTGACATCCCTCAGCTTCAATCAGACATGTTTACTGCATGTTTCATAGGATTAGAATGCTTCACAGTAGACTAATCAACAAAAAAACTAAATCTAAACTAATAGCAAACTGTTTCTTTTGCTTTCTCTGATGTTTTGGATTAATATTAGTGCAGTCAAGCGGAAAAAGTCTTTTTCAAATCGCTTCACACAACTGTTTATGTGACTGCTTGCAGACTTGTGCCATGTTGAAAGTGGTACAAAATGTAAGATTTCAGACATTAATTTTGGGACTCTTACACTTTTTAAAAACTCCATTCATGAAGACACCATCTGTCAGACCTTTTTCAGCTGATTTTAAGCTCTCTGACTTTACTAGTTCTCTAAAACGCTTATTGTTGTGACTCTTTTCTGTTTTTGAGGAGCATCAGCAGCATTTTCCACATGTTTAAACCTCCTACACTGATGCTAATCTCACTATGAAGCCATGTCTGCTCCATTAAAAGAAGCTTTATTTGTATTATTCTAAATAGTACAGCGGTTTGTTTCTCTCTTTTTCTGCCTAATGGGCTGCAGGTGTGAAGAAAAGCGCCTGCAGCTGATTTCATTTGGCTCTTCTTCAGCTCTTGTTTATGTTGATGCTCTGCTGCTCATCTCCTCCCAGTTTGAAGGGGTTAAATCCGCGCAGCCTGTTGACTGCTATGAGGGGACATGGCATGCTAATATTATTGCCATCAGATGTCCAAGGGCGGGGAAATGCCCTAATCATTTCCTCCCGAGTGCCCCTGAAAGAGAAACCCAGTGGCGGGGGGCGGAGGGCGCCTGGGTGGGGTGTTTAAACCCCGGCACGATGGGCTGTTTTGGGGGGGAGGCGGGGAACAGTACAGCATCCGGATCGGACCGTGATGGTACAGGATGTATGTGCTTAACTCCATTGAACTAAACTAAATAGGGAAGAAAGCCTTTAATGCTGACAATAAGCCGCTTCATTCAGCGGCGCGGCCCAGACGCACAGCTCTGCGGAGTAGAAATTACGCACGGAGGGGCTGTTCTGAGGCAGCAGTTTGGGCATTGAAATCAGCTCGAAAAATCACTGGAATGTCCTTTTGATAGAGTTTTTTTATTTTTTATTTTTTAAATTATTGTTATTTAGCTTAATTTTTCAGGAATCAACCCACAGAGCGGCTTCCTTCAGCTCCTGATAACGAGATAATTTGTCCCCAGGCTGAATGTGCGTAAAAGTATTTCGAACAGGAAACTCTCTCTCTCCGTCTCTCTCTCTCTCTCTCTCTCCCTCTCTCTCTCTCTCTCTCTCTCGCTCAGTGTGTGTGTGTGTGTGTTGTGTGCATGTGTGTGTGTGTGTAAGAGGAATACCCAGCTGGTCCCACAAGCCCTATAATACCAAGCACAACATGCTTTACCTTCAATGAAAGCTGAGACGGGGGGACGGTTGACTGCTGGTCCTGAAATCAACTCAGAGCTCCGGAGCGTCGGTGTTTTAGCAGCTCGCCTCTCCTGCATCTGCTCTATCACACCTTCTGCTGCGCGCCGGAACCTTTTTTTCTTGGTCATTTACTGACTTTTTACATTTTTTTATTTGAATTTTTATTCTTTATTTTTTGCGCATTCACACCTGCGACTTAATCCAAAGCAGAGAGACAGCTTTCTTGGATAACTTCCCCTTCTTGTTTGTGACTGCTGTCAGAGGTGATGCTATCATTTTGTCACATCCTCAGGTGATGGTATGTCTCTCTGGAGATAGGGGCCACTTTTGGAAACGTGCTAGGTTTTCCACAGCTGTTATTTTTCCTGTTGCTACATTTCCTCTGGTTCCAGCATGGCACTCTACTCTCGGTTTGTGGTCGTGCTGCTTTACGGATGGAGTTATCTGTGCGTTGGATACTGCGCGATGCTGAAAACGGACAATTTCCCCGAGAAGCGAAAGGTGGATTTTACGCATTCAGTGGATAAAAAGTACACGACGAAGGAAGACCAGGACGCGCTTTTACAGGATACAATGACGGAGCACATGCAGATGCTTTACGCGAAGTACAACCGGGCTGGATTTCCCTTCAAGGACGGCAACACTGTTCGCAGCTTCAAAGCGCACTGGGGTACGTATCCAAACTTTTACGCACTGACTTTTAGGGGTTTAGGAAAGGTAATGAGTGCATATCTTATTGTCTGACGTTTGGAAATGTAAAGTTTATCTGGAAACTGTTTTGGTGAGCTTGAATTATGTGCACATTAATAGTGCAGCACGCTGAGAGTGCACAGAGAGTGTGCGCAATTTCGTCAAATTCGAAAAATTCTAATTATTTGCGCAATAAAAACGTCTACAATGTTGTTTTAGGTTTAAATAATCGCCAAAACTCGTACAAATTGGTGCCATCCATGCGCTGGTTTACGCAGCCGAAACTGAAATCCACCTGTTGATCCAGTCGTGGAAACGGGATCAACCTGTTGCCGCTTCCTCGTGCCAGGAGGAGAGATTCGCATCAGATCGTTGCATGCGACTGAACATCGTTTTTGGCGAAACAATTGTTTTCACACCTTCAGATTTTACTGTCAGATAGTCCGCATAGATTCTCCCTCGAGCCAGGATCTGGCAGCTGCCCAGCCTGCCTGAGCTGCTGCACGACTGGAGAGTTTCCACCGCGCAGAGCTTCTGCATTTAAGGAGCTTTTATTAGTTTCGGTGCGCAGGGAATTTTATACTAACTTGGATCTTATAAGCTCTGAGCTGCTTACAGGCTGCGCGGTGTTATGATCACTTGGACGTGGATCTATTAGACACAACCAGCTTCCACTTGGGGTCAGGCTTTGTTAGATTATACTGCCTCCTGTCGCCTGGTTGCTGTATGTTGGAGCATGTAAAGGGCAAGTTCACACAAATTACAAGCATATTTTCCTCATTTATTCCCACAGATCTCTGGTCATGCAGGTAGTTTTGGTTTTATTTAACTGGATTTTGACATATTTAGAGATTCCTGCTGAAGTACTCAGATATTTTAATAAATGTTGTAAAAAAATAAATTAAAAAGCAAGGTCTGCTTGGAAAATATAATAATGTGGAACAGTAAAGGTGTTCTTGGGGTTTCTATGTTTCTAAGCATAAAGTTTGATGCAAATAGGGAACATTAAGATATGAGATGTCTGGACGTGTAGCAGGTGGAGTTAAACTTTACCCTGCATGCTTTTAAGGTTTTGGGTTTTGTTTTTGTTTTTTAGTTTTTTGTTTGGGAGGGGAGGGTGTATTTGCATTCATCTATTTTCTCTGGATGATGCACAAACCTTACGCCGACTTTTTGTTGAAACTAATGTACCCCAAAGAGGACTTTTAAAAATGTGTAATTGTTGTGGATTATACACAGTCACAGGGGTTTTTCAGTAACATTTTGAGTGCTTTCACAGCTCCAGATCAAATTCCATTGCATCAAGGTGGAAGTAAATCAAACCAAGAGTATTTGCGTGGCTGACAACATGTTGGATCTCGACAGAGACACATGCTAGTTATTATCATTATCACGTCAGTGTGTTGCATTGTGCAAATAACATTATTTCTCATATACACAGGTACGATAAACAAGAAGCAGCTGCAGATTTTCAACCTCACCTCCCTCACCAAGTCGGAAGACGTTCTGTCAGCAACCCTTCATTACTACATCGGAGACCTCCAGAACAGCACCGGCGGCTGCTCCAGGTCCAAAAGCTGTTCCCGCCACGGCCCCCGCAGGCACAGCCACATCCACATGGTCATCTGGAGCTTCGGCTCCGTGGACAACAAGCTCAGGACTCTGGGACACTTTCGGATCAACGTGTCCACCCTCTACAGGGACTTCATATCCTGGCAGTGGAAGGACGTAACTCGCGTGGTCAACCAGGCCAAGCACCATGACGAGCTGCTCATCGGGATCGAGGTGGCCTCTCAGGGGCCCCAGCCATGGAAGAAGCTCCTGTCGGACCGCTCGCCCTACATCCTGGTCTACGCCAACGACTCGGCCATTTCAGAACCAGAAAGCGTGGTGGCCACCCTCCAGAGACACCACTCAGTGGGAGGCGAGGGTTCCGTTTCTTTCCACAAACTGGGTCTGCGAGAGCGAAACAGCACCGAGCAGGAGCAGCCACAGCCCAGACACAAGCGCTCGGTGAACGTTCTCCTCCCGCTGCAGAACAACGAGCTCCCCGGACCCGAGTATCCGTACGAGACCACCGGCTGGGACGAGACGAGTCCGTACGAACCCTTTGAGAACAAGCAGGCCCGCCGGCCGCGCAAAAAGACTCGCAAGAACCAGCGGCACAAGATGCCCCTGCTGCAGTTCGACGAGCAGACGATTAAAAAGGCGCGAAAGAAGCAGTGGAACGAGCCAAGGAACTGCGCTCGGAGATACCTGAAAGTGGACTTTGCCGACATCGGATGGAGTGAATGGATTATATCACCCAAATCATTTGACGCCTACTACTGCTCAGGGTCCTGCCAGTTCCCCATGCCGAAGGTGAGACTCAGTAGTGGCCATTGAGGTGTTTCCAGACCCCAAAAGAGGTTTCAAGACATATCTGTAGGGTTTCAAGATAAAAGGAAAGTAGCTAAACCAATAGTTCAACACAAAACTATGTCGAGATTCCTCTAGATTTTCCACCAATATTACTGGTTTTTCTCAGGAACTGATGGATTATTTCACTTTTACAGGCTGCTAATGTGCCATTTGTAGCACTGGGATACAAAAAAAACAAAAATTTCGCTTTAATTTTAAGGATCTCAGGCCAACATTGTGTGATAGGGTTTCATCCAGCACACCTTTCAACCTGGTTTTGTGCCTTCTCTACTGGTGTTGGACATACTTGTACATCTCAGCACCATCTTGTGGTTCAGTCATCCACATTTTTCATCATGTTTAGATAATATATTTGTCTCCATGCAAGCGTTTCAGACAGTGACAGCTGATAACAACCATCATGGTACAGCGGATTGTAGGTTCTGTAACCGCACATAACAGACTATACGTATCGGTTTAACCTGCAAACACTGAGCGTTTTTTTTCATGCAGCGTGGTGCCCATTATGTAAATCAAACAGGCTATCAGTGCATCTATCGGCCCCTTGTTTACTGCTTTTACTGCTCTGTGTTGTATTAAGTTGAGCAACATTAACATCAGAAGCTCCTGAAATCTGTCTGCCTTATATTATAGATGATAATGGCAAACTTAAACTCTCAGCATAATCTGGTTACAGAGGTTGCACTGCTAGAAGATCTTCTGTCTTCTGCAGGAATAAAGAAGATGTGCATCAGAGCTAAATGTAGGTAGTTTGGTATGAAAACAAAGGTTAGTACAAAGTAAAGTCTGACTGTACCAAACACGAAACACTGGAGTGGTTGAACTACAGGTGATGTAATCTGGATGGTTCTGAAAGAAAATATTCAACATTCTCAGGAGCAGGTGTCTCACGTTAACATCAGAAGTCAGTAAAACTTCACAACCTCACTCAAGAAAAACCAACCAGGACGCTGCAGGAATCATCTTGAAAGCTTATGCAGCCTCGTTTTAACACATCTGACAGATCAGACGAATAAGTACCGAGACTTAAACATCAGCTCGTAGCTCGTGGCACCGGTGACAAGATAACATCACAGGTATTTTAAACATGGCCGGAATGCACGAGCTCCCTCCACTTAATTCATTACCTCGGAGTCGCCGGTCTTTGTAGTCGGATGTAATTAGTCCCAGAAGTAGAGCCCGAGGCCTTGAAGGCGACCGCCTCCCTCTCCTGCAGGGTTCTGCTCAGCCAGTCAGGCCTGTGATCCTCTGCTGTCGCTCCTCCTTTGTCAGGGTGAAGTTTTTAGAAGATGCTAAATAGCTGCTATTCAAAGGAGCTCTGACTGTGGTCTTTTTTGACGTGCGGGAAAAGTCCTGTCGCATGAAGCAGCTGATTCGTCAGATGATGCACCAACAGCTGCTTTTCAGTTCAACAATGATCTGTTAACTCTGCGTTACATTTGCTATCTTCATAAAGTACCAATGAGAGTTGGTTTCTGTGTGTGATCCAAAACACAACGAGCTTTGTAAAATATGGAAAAATCGTGTTTCTATTGGTCATTTTTTGTTTAATTTAATCTTATTTTCAAGATGAGTCCAACACTTTGTTGCTGTACTCGGATGAGAACGTTTCTACAAACAGAGCTGTCAACTGATCATGGATAATTGGTTTAAGTAAATATTTAAAGGACAAAAAACTCTAAATTCTACGATGCCAGCTTGGTAAAATTTCAATGTTTTATGGTTTCTTTCCTCCTCTGTGACAGTAAACTGAATGTCTTCAGGTTGTCAATAAAACAAGACATTTGCGGACGTCATACAAAACATCTCGACAAATCAATGGACAATGGAAACAATCATTAATTGTAGCTCTAATATGTCTGAAAATGGATTGTCGGGAGAGGTTATTAGTTTTAAAACTTCTCAAATGTGAATGTTTTCTGGTTTCTGACTGAATAACAATTTGGGTTGTACACAAAAGTCTTGGGTTTCGAGAAACACTGATCGACACTTTTCACCATTTTCTGACATTTTACACACCAATAGCTCATAAAGTTATCAAGAAAATAATAAATCTTTATGTCAGTCAACAGTAAAAATACAAATTCTTTGCAACAAAGTCAGACGAGGCAGGAAATGAGACACAACAGATCATCTAAACTACTTTTTTTTGCAGGTTAAACCAAACGTAACTGCTCCTGAAATGCCATCAATAAGTCTCCATTACGTAAGAAAACTACGAGCATGTGCACAACTTTAGCAAACACCATACGTCATTGTTCAAATTTAGGACATTTTGTGTATTTATTTTATGTCTTAGTTTCTTTTCCTCTGTCAAATAACTTTATGACAAGAAAAAAAACACTTTCCTGCTGTCTGCTTGTGCTTTTTTCTCCATGACACTTCTTTCTACTGATGCTACTTTCTGTGATTTCTATCAATTAAAGCTGGAGTAGGTTATGTTGTTTTGGCGTCACTGGGGGAAAAAACCCATACTAGCCTTTCAGCAGATTGTAGTTTAGGTGGTCTGAGAGAAAACTAGACTTCTGCACCTCCTCTGAGCAACATTTTCAAGCTTTATGTATCTTTAAATTCAGCCATCTTGGCCAATTGCAGCACTTTTTAGAGACTAGATCAGGCAGAACACGTAGCGCTAAAGTCAGCAGTGAGAGCAGGGTTTGGTGGTGCAGTGGGTTAGATGGAGGACTTGGTTGAGGTTGTTGGGGGGACTGTTCTAGATTTCTACCCACTGCTGCTTTAACTTGAGTTTTAGCAAGATGAACGATAGATAAAACTAGAAAAATATGACTGAAAATTGTAAGAAACATTTCCCTAAAGTGCATCTAGAAAGACAGACATGCAGCAATGCAGCAAAACAATCCAGTTCTAGAAGGAGATAAGGAATTGATGGTGCTTTCCAAACAGCTATTGCTTTTAAATTGACTTTTTTGTCGTTTTTGTGTCCCTCTAAGGCTCTGAAGCCGTCTAACCACGCCACCATCCAGAGCATAGTTCGGGCGGTGGGCGTCGTCCCCGGCATCCCCGAGCCGTGCTGCGTCCCCGAGAAGATGTCCTCCCTCAGCATCCTCTTCTTCGACGAGGACAAGAACGTGGTGCTCAAGGTCTACCCCAACATGACTGTAGACTCCTGCGCCTGCAGATAGTTTCCCTTCTCCTTTCTACGCCTCATATCGTATAGTTAAAAAAACCCAAAAACACACAAAAACAACATGTGCAGCCAAAAAAGACTCAAAGTCTCTCCTCCTGCTTCTTCAGTCTCGCTCAGAACATCCATCGGACTTCCCTCTGTTGCGTTGGAGGAGAGTGACTGGCTGCTGTTCCAGGCGAAGAGGAGTTCGGTCCGTTCACGGGAAGAAGAAAAAAAACGGACCGCGTGAGTCGTTATTATTATCCTCGTGGAAGATTACTGGAACGGAAAAGTCAAATCTCCACATGCAAACCGGCACCACTGTTAATCTACGTATTTATCATGGCTGCTCAGTTATCCGTTTGGGGCGATAGCAGGGTGGATCACAAACTCACTGTCAAGCTACACAAACACCAACTGAGGCAGAAAACAAACAAACACAAAAAAAAAAAAACTGAAGGAAAATTTTCACTTTTCAGGAAAAAATAAATAAATCTCAGCTCGAACTGATGCCTTCTTCATAGCTTGAAGTTGTCTTTACCACAAGGTCACCTCTGCTCGCACTTGCATGGTTTTTGTTACTATGTGTAAGTATTTATGTCCGTACTATCACTGTGTTTATTCGCTATACGAGAAAAGTTATTGTATAATTATTGGCTTGGCTGCTATAGAGGGTTATATTAGATTCCAAAGCCAGAATTGTGACGTAGACGGTTAGTTTTTTTTGGATATTTCTGTTTAGATTGTTGCTCGGAATCCACATTTTGAGAGCCGGTTGTACGCGGAAGAATGTGGTCTTCGATTGCGGCTGAAGTTTTTGAGGAGAGCCACTCTACCATTTTGCTCAAACATAAAGGGATAAAGCGTATGAAAAGGAGAAACTACTCCGTTGAACCAAGGCTGCCACCAACAAGTGTAAAACAACGGGACTCCAGAAGCGACTAGATGCTTGTGGGGATATTTAAAACACTTTCTGGATGTAATAAGTCAAGCACATGGTGGCAGACAGTTAACTCTAGTGGTTTCACTGAGGCTGAAATCAGACTGAACTTGTTTTTGGGCATTTTGTAAGTTCAGATCATGTTGCTATCACATAATGTTCAAAATCATATGTCGTATTCACAGTGTGGACTGACGTTTATGAAGAAAAACCATTTACAAACTGCCCGAATGCTTCTAGAAATCTGCTTTTATCGACAAAGAGATTAGAATAATCAGTATGGAGTCGATACACACTGCTGGTCTGGAATCAGTTTTGCTTCACGCATCCTTCAGGCTCATCGTTTTTGGTTGAAGCTCTGGGTTGAAACGGGTAACATATTAAAGGAAAAACATCCAACAGAAAGTGTCTTCATAAGGTGTTGCACTGTCACATTTCGCCAGAGCAGCTTCTGTTCAACTTAGCATTGCTTCTCCAAGTTTCTCCAGAAGAGATGGAACATCATTTTTACAGGAAAATAAAAGACCTCATTTGGTGTTTTGATGGTGGTGGTCCAAAATCTCCCATCAGCTGGGTTGAGATCTGGTGATTTACATCATTTTTATCACATTTTTGGGGTAACTTTGGGTGTCCACAACCAGGTTTTCCAGTTCTTGAGGTGTTCCCAGGCCAGATGAGATATGTACATTGAAAACCTCCAAAGGAAGCATCCATCACAAAATCG